CACTGGACTTACTGGAGGGCAGCAGGACTGGGATGGACCCACTGGACTTACTGGAGGGCAGCAGGACTGGGATGGACCCACTGGACTTACTGGAGTGCAGCAGGACTGGGATGGAGGGAGAATAATCAGGATTAAAAACGCAGAATAGGAGGATCAGGTTTCACTTTTTTTTTTTTTAAAGTGGGGCAATAGGAAACAGTGACATTAAATCAGTCAAAAGAAAACTGCCCACCTGCCTGGCTGCCCTTTCACCTCCTGGCACTGTGGAGGGACTCCAAATTGTTGTAGTTAGTCTGTAACAGCAGTGGTTGCTCCACCCTCTCCAACCACTGTTGCCACTCCTCCAGGGCCACCTCGATGGCCAGCAGTTCTCTGGTTCCCACGTCGTGGGAGATGAAGACACATGGATTAAGCTTCTTATTGCTGGGAGGGGACAGCGCCTACGCCAGCATTGGAGGCGTCAACCTCCACCACAAACTGTCAACTGGTTTTTAGTAACACCAGGACCGGAGCAGCGGTGAAACTCTCTTTCAGTCTCTGGAAGACTCTCTCGGCTTGGGGGGGTCCCATGGAACCTGGATTTGGAAGAGGTGGGGGCATCCAGAGGGGCAGGAATGCTGCTGAAATACCTTGCAGTAGAAATTAAAACCTCACACAGATATGCAGACAGTCTCAGCACACCCTTTTCCATATTTCACTGCAACATAATCCTCCGATGATGCCGAGCTTGTTTTTACATCCTCGGAGAACCAAGACAGTAGTTGGACGTATACTTTATAGTTTCTAATGTAAACTGCAACCAGATAACCATCCACCCATTTTCTTCCACTTATCCGGGGTCGGGTCGTGGAGGCAGCAGGCGGAAAAGTTCGTTCCAGACTTCCCTCCGCCTGGCGACGCTTTCCAGCTCTTCCTGGGGGATCCCGAGGTGTTTCCAGGCCAGTCGAGAGATATAATCCTACAACCAGATAGGATGTAGTAATAAAACGCTCCTTGGCCCTGGAATTAGCACCAGGCTAGCTACCGATCTCAGCAGGCTAACACATGCATCCTCAGAGTGAATGAAAAGACACAAACTCTTTAACTACAGCCGTACTACAGCTCCATGATGACATTTCAACATGTGCTTGATTGGACGCTCCCTTACTGGAGGGCTTTGGTGCAGATGTTATTCACATACAGTCGCATTACAGGAGGATTTAAACCAATTGTAATGCATTTAAATAACATTTTTTTGGTTTTTCTAGTTGTTTGTATTAAGGACATTGTCATGTGGGTAACCATGCATGTGTGTGCATGTTTCTCCACCAGGTCAACATCGTCATCTTCATCAACGTCATCCGAATCCTGGTTCAGAAGCTGAAATCTTCTGCCATGGCTGGAAACAATGACACCGGACATTTCATGTAAGTCACGACCCACTGACACAACAAACCTTCCAGTTTAACAATATCAAGAGTTCAGCTGCAGACATTTGGGGAAATACACGGTTGGATTTGGTGCAGAAGGTTGAGAGGTCCTTCAGAGAGCTGCTAGAGTTTAAAATCTAAAACCTTTAGTACCAAACGCTTTAACACAAGAAGGGTTTGGATCAGATGGTGTTAACCTGTTAGCATCCACTGAAGAAGCACCTGTCCTGCCTCCTGAGAGTGAGATGAGATGATGCTTCTCAGCAGGTAACCAAACCAGATGATGAATGGATGAGTGATTGTGAAAGAAGCAGCTGATAGCAATCAGCTAGCTCAGCCTGAAGCCACAAAATGATCCATATGTGATATTTTTATCTAAGTTCACTTCCACTTCTCTTGCATTTAAATATTTTTTTGAAGAAATGACGAAGAATGAACAATCCATGAAACAACTGTACTATCTGTCTATATATGAATTCATGAAATGCTGCTTTTGATAAAACATCTGTAGAGTTCATTATGTTAACAGTAAAAACCACAACGTGAGCGAAAGCAAAAGGTTAAAACGTGTTCTTGTAGGAGGAAGGCTGAAGAAACAGGAGGAAAAGCTGCACTTTCACTCTCTGATGCAATTTACTTTCCTCTCCCTTTAAGATTGCAGCGTTACGAGGGTTCTTCTTCTCTCTTTGATCTGCTGCTGAGCCGGCGCCTCACAAGAATAGGTGTTCTGATTGAAACCGAGATCACACAGAAATTCAGAAAAAACTACATTCAAAGACAAAAAAAAGAGCTAAAAATAAAAGAAGTGTGTAGATATCGATATTGCAGCACCAGTAGAATACAGCAGAACCACACCGGTACCGGTACTGGTGATGCATCACTCGCTGCATTATCATACAATTATATTTTAACCATCCATCCATCATCT